TCATCATCATCATCATCATCATCATCATCATCATCATCATCATCATCATCATCGCATTCACTCGCACACGCACGCACACCCACCCACACATGCATCTTGAGGAAATCTCGAGCGGGAGACTCGTCTGTGAGTGAATCGTAAGGAAGTCTCGAGCGGGAGCCCCCTCCCTATGCGGTCCCCGCCTCATGTTGGTAATCCGAGGCGGCCACCGGATACCCTGTGAAAACACAGGTTTGGTGACATCTGGGGGCCTGAATCCCGAGGACGCCTCGAACGGGAGCCTCGTTCCTGAACACTTTGAGAGGATGCCCCGGGCGCTCGGTTGTAAGTGAATCTGGAGAAAGTCTCGAGCGGGAACCCCCTCCCTGTGGGGCCCCCGCCTCATGTTGGTACTCCGAGACGGCCATCGGGATACCCTGCAAACGCAGGTTCGATGACACCTGGGAGCCTGAATCCCGAGGAAGTCTAAAGCGGAATGCTCATTCCTGAGCAAACTGAGAAGATGCCTCGGGCGCTCACTCGTTTGTGAGCGGATCGCGAGGAAGTCTCGAGCGGGCGCCCCTCCCCATGGGGTTCCCACCTCATGCTGGTTATCCGAGGTGGCCACCGGATACCTGGTAAAAACACAATCTTCGTGACACCTGGGAGCCTAAATCCAGAGGAAATCTCGAGCCGGAACTTCGTTCCTGAGCAACTTGAGAAGATGTCTCGGGCGCTCGCGTCTGAATGAATCGGGAAACAAGCTCGAGCAGGAGCCCCCTCCCTATGGGGTCCCCGCAGCGTGTCGGTAATCCGAGACGGCCATCGGGATACCCTGTGACAGAACAGGTTTGGCGACACCTGGGAGCCTAAATCCCGAGGAAATCTCGAGCGGGAGCCTCGTTCTGGAGCAAACTGAGAGGATGCCTCGGGAGCTCGCCAGTAAGTGAATCGCGAGGAAGTCTGGAGCGGGCGTCCCCTCCCCATGGGGTCCCCACCTCATGTTGCTGCTCCGAGGCGACCATCGGGACACTCTGGAACAACACAGGTTTGGTGACACCTGGGAGCTGAATCTCGAGGACGTATCGAGCGAGAGCGTCGTTCCTGAGCAAGCTGGAAGGATGTCTCGGGTGCTCAATCGTCTGTAAGTGAATCGCGAAGACGTCTTGAGCGGGAGTCCCTCCCATGGGGTTTACACCGCATTTTGGTAATCCGACGCAGCCATCGGGATACCCTGCAAGAGTAAAGTGTTGGTGACACCTGGGAGCCTAGATCCAGAGGAAATCTCGAGCTGGAGCCTCGTTCCTGAGTAACTTGAGAGGATGCCTCGGGCGTTCGCCAGCAAATGAATCGCGGAGAAGTCTCGAGCGGGAGCCTCCTCCATATGGAGCCCCCGCTTCATGTTACTAGCCCGAGGCGGCCATCGGGATACCCTGTAAAGCACAGGGGTGGTGACACCTGGGAGTTTGAATCTTGAAGCTCGAGCGTCCTTTGTAACCCAAGGCGGCCATCCTCAATCAAACCTGTCAGCGTCGGCAATGACGAGCACATCCAAGGCAGGATAATATCCTCAAAAGCCACCAGGACGACGATGAAGATTGCTTCCAATCTAATTTGGAGTATTATCATGTAGGGTCCTACCGTCGAAGAAATGTGTCCTTCACCGTGGAAACCGTAACGCCCCATTTCACTCGTCCGCAAACTTTTGCACCAATCAGACTGCGACAACCCTTCGCAATGGTGTGCACATGTGCTATCGTTGTCGTTGGACTCATCGTCGCCGTGCTTGACCGCCATCTGGGACGGGACTTTTTTTCCGTTGCATGTATGCGCTGCCAACGATCTGGTCTTGCGCCAATTCCAAACTGCCATCTCTCCTTCGGTGTTGGCATTGTGTATCGCACTTGTACCATGGCAATTCCCTGCTATCTTATGGTGTCGACTTTTTCTCCACACGAGCGCACAGGAAATTTGAGTTGCCAGCTCTAACGCTTCTGGGGTGATTGCTAACCTGCATTGGTTCCAATCCGCTGTATATCGACCCGTTGAAAACAAGATTTCCCCGACGGGCCCAGCTCTTCTTCTTCGGAACGGCGTTGAGGGCGTTGACTGTCCCCGTATTTGTTAGGCCTGCGTGTGCTGACTATGAACCTCCATGCAAGCGAGGACTCACCTGCCGAGAACATCCTTATGACGTCTATTTGCCAAAGAACGTTTGAAGAGTTTGTCAATCTATGTTCTTAGTCGGTGTCGACTATGACATTCTCTGCGTTGGGACACTGGCCTGGCGTGATCACATTCGATACGGTCGGGCTGGCCTTGGCCGCACTGGTTCTCAACTCTCAACTCGTAGGCCTCTATGTGCAATGCTGGTCTCGAGCTCAAATAATCCATCGACTTGCCTATATTTTGTTCGTTTTTTTTGTTTCTTTTTATCGTTTTTATCGTTTTGGTTGAGCATTATTTCTTCTTAAGAATAATTATTGTTGGGGCCCCTGGTGCACGACCCCCCCGCCGCGCCTAGGCCGCAGCCTCATTTTCATCATTTTCGTGAGGAAGTCTCAGGCAAAACGGGGGAGTCCGGATCCGGTTGTGTTGTTACGATCGGTTTTCCCTTGCAAAAAAACAAGCTAAAGTGGACATTTCTTGTTCTAACATAACCGAACTTCAAGAATCCCTTGCAAAAAATAAGGTAAAGTGGACATTCGCGCGCGCAAGACAAAATCCTTCCAAAACCTTAGTTTTCGTAGCGATTTTAACATAAAAACATCAAAAAACCTTCTTTTTTTTATGTTATATATATATTATATATATATATTATATATATATATATATATATTATATATATATTATATATATATATATATATATATATATATATATATATATATATATATATTTTTTTTTTTTTTTTTTTTTTTTTTTTTTTTTTTTTTTTTTTAAAAAAAAAAAAAAAAAAAAAATGTCAAATTTCATCCCGCGCGCTCTTGCGGATTCGTAGGAAACCCAACACTTTTTAAACATTTCTGTCAAACGGGCTTTTGCGAGCAACTTTTTCGAACTTCTGCGACAACGGTTGCGCACCTGCCAGGGCCATCATCCCTGTCAAATAATACCATGCGGGACACATTCGTTTTTTCTTCGCGCGCGCACGCCGTCGTCGTCGGCCGCGGGGCCCTGAATAGTAGCCACGGTCGTCCGCATGCCACGAAGTGAAGTGTCCGAACGTCATAGGGCGGGAAGCTGGGTGTGGGTGGTGGCGAAGAGTCGTTTGGAAATTTGGTAGAGCTTGAACCGGCCCCCCCACAAAGTGGGGGTATTGCCCGCCTCCTATGAAAACCCTGGCACTGGTGAGAACGGAGTGTCCCCACGTGCTAGTAATTGTTGTTGTTGTTGTTGTTGTTGTTGTTGTTGTTGTTGTTGTTGTTGTTTTTTCCATCCGTATGTTGATATCGTTCCAGCGGCTAGTCCGTGCGTGGTGGCCGAGTAAGTTCTGGAGTATCTTCTCCATCTAGATCGCCCAACTTTTTTGTCGGCTTGCGTTCTTGCCTGCTTCCTTGCGAGTCAAACCTTATACAATACAAAATGGAATATAGGCCCGGTCGCGTGGAGTAGACCCAAGTACAGTTGGAGTATACGTGTACCGAGTAGGAACAATTCAAATCAAGACGGGAGCTGGGAAGTAATTGATTAGAATCGAAAAGAAGACAGTTAAGTGGCTCTAGTCGAGAAGAGCCAAACCAACCAAATTCGAATAGAGCCAGGTATATCAGAGTCGAATCGAGTACTGTACAGCCTCGTAAAGTAAAAGTGCAGAGGCGGTGGAGCGAATCAGGTCGAATAGAACAAAGTCGAGCTCAGCAGAGCTGGGGTATAGCACGGACCGCATGTTGGTTGAAAACGATAGCTCTCCGTGCCCCTGACCCTGTATCTGTACTATCTTAGCATATTCCCTACGCTCTGTTTGTGCACACATGCTTCGCTCGGTCTCTTAAACCGTTGGACGCACTTCCAAGTTTTTGCCGGGTGCCGGCCCCCGGGCGCTTCGTACTGGGTGCTAGTTCCAAGGTTACGCCACTTGCCCGCCCGTGGACACCACAGCTTGCACCACATAGCTTTCACGATGTAGCCTGTACAGCATAGCTGGCGCCAGATATTTTGCACCACGAAGCTGCCTCTACATAGTTTGCACCATATAGCTCTCACCACAGAGCTTGCACCACACAGCTTGCACAACATAGCTTGCACCACGTAGTTGATACTACTTAGCTTGCACCGTAAAGCTTGCACCAAATAGCTTGCACCACACACGTTGAACCACATAGCTTGCACCACCAACCTTGCACCGCACATCTTGCACCACATAGCTTGCGGCGCATAGCCTGCAGCACATCTATTTTAGCACGTAGCTTGCACCACGCAGCTTGCACCACATATCTGGCACCACGCAACTTGAACAACATAGCTTGCACCACAAGCTTGCGCGACGCAGTTAGCACAACATAGCTTACACATTCAAGGTGTAAGACATCACCGTCTGGGGGCCACGCTGGTAAGTTTTTTTGAAGAACGTGCGCAGGAGGTGCAGCAGGAGGGAAAGGGACAGGAGTTGCAGGGAAAGCAAGAGCACGGGAGATTCGTGTAGGCAGGTTGACAGGAAGATGGGCTGAGGCGGAGCAGCAGTATGAGGAAGAAGGCCATGAGGCTGGGAAGGAGGGGTGGAATGGGAGGAGGACGGGGGGGAAGAGATCTCGAGAGAGGAGGAGGGCAGCGGGGAAGAGGGTGAGGAACAGGAAAGTAGGCGGAGGATGGTGAGGAGGATCGATCGAATATTGTGGACAGATAAAAAAGGTGGCGCGATTCTGAACGTGCCCAATGCGCCAACTACAACGCCAAATGGTCACATAATGTTGCCTAATGTCGCAGGTGTGCTGACAACTGGCCGCCAGAGCCGTGCGGTGAAAGCCCAAAAGGCAATGGGGTTGCCTTACGGCACTCCTCTCTGCCTCCAGGCCGCAAGTTCACCGACACTGCACCATGGTTCGCCCAAATCTGGTGCAATGAGGATCATCCTTATTCGCATGCTCCTCCTGCATTGGTTGCTCCCCCTCCTCCCCCTCCTCCTCCTCCTCCTCCGCCTGCCTGGCTCCAAAACCGTGCGCACGCCGACGCGGACCTCTCTTGGGATGTGCCGACGGCGGCTCCGCCCTCGGCTTGCCTCTGCCGACCTCCGCGGCCCCTCGCCAAGGGCGAGGAGCCAACCTCTCGACCCCCCGAGGGCGGGGCCGCTCCTGGAGCACCGTGGCTCCTCCGCCTCCCTCTGCTCGGGCAGAAGCAAACGAAACAACGACATCAACACAAACTCTCGGAGGCCCGCGCGGATCTCTGGGATCTGCGCCGGGCACCCGTGGCGGCGCCTCCGGCGCCCCCTGCGCGAACCTCCGAAACTTTCTGGTTGCGTTGGTTTCTTTTCTTCTGTCCTCCCTCCTCCTCCTCCTCCTCCTCCTCCTCCTCCTCTTCCTCCTCCGTTCGCCCGTCCGCATCCCATCTCCCTCCCCAATCGCATCATCCCGCCCTGTCCGCACTCATCCCCTCCTCCTCGTATTCCGCATATCCCTCCAAGATGTGCCAGTGGACGCGCCAGTGGACACGGGAAGCTGCCGGGCGGCCATCCCCGCCCACTGCGCAGCGCGGCCTGCTGTACCAGTCGGGACCATACGCCCGCTGCGCTGCCGCTGGATGTGCGCCCGTTGCGCTGCCGCTCCTCCTCCGCCTCCTCCTTCTCCTCCTTCTCATCCTCCTCCTCCTCCTCCTCCTCCTCTTCTCCTCCTCCTCCTCCCCTCTTCCCCCTCCTCCTCTTCATCCCTCTCCTCCTCCCTCTCCCTCCAAGAAGAAGAAACATGGACATGAACACAATCTTTCGGAGGTCCACGTGAGATTTCTGGATCGGCATTGCACCCCCCACCTTGGCGCGCTCCGCGCGCCACAGGCAGCGCCGGGAGCGCCACCAAGTCGGTCCAGCGTCGATCTAAGAAATCCGCGCTGGTCTCCGGAAGTTTCCTGTTTATGAAATACGCGCTCTTCTTCGAACCTACCCCCCTCTCTGTTCAGGCCCCCTTTCCCTCGGCCCACCCCGACACCTCGCCCGTCCCCCACAGCCAAAACTGGCTTCGGCGGCGTGGATGTCCGCGTACCTCTGGGCACCTCTGCTGCAGTGGCGTGGCCAACGGGACGGATCGCCAGTGTCTCCTGTCTGCGCCGCTGCAGGGAGGGCGATTGAGAAGGAGCAGGAGGTTTTTTGTCTCCTCCCCCCCAGCGGACCGATGGCAGCAAACCAGCGGTGGTAATCGATGACGCAACCCGTCAGGCGGGGCAGCACACTTGTCCAGTCCAGTCCAGTCCAGAAGCCTTGCGCCGGCCACAGCGCGTGAGCCTTGGCCGCATCGTCGCCCACTGCAGCACACTAGCACATACTAGAACGCGAGTGCAGTGTAAGACGGTGTGTGCGATCCCTCCAGGAGGAGCAGGGGGGCTCCCTGTGCCCTCCCGCCCTCCCTTCGACCCCTCGAGCGAAGGCCTGGCCCTGGGGGCCGGGCGCGTCCCGCCGCGGGCGCCCCCCTGAGGTGGCGGCCCGCCACCCGCAGCCCGCGCGGAACGCGGGGGCACGCGGACCGCGGCTCGGACCGCGCTTCACAGCCATCGACAGCCATCGACAGCCTTCGACAGCCTTCGACATGACGCGCTTCGACAGGCCTTCGACATGACGCGCTTCGACAGCCTTCGACAGGCATCTGGGACAGCCTTCGACAACCTTCGACACGACTTCGGCCTGCCACGGCAGCCTCCGAATCCCTCGCCATCCGCCTTCCGCCCTCAGACTTCGGCAGCATGCGACAAGTCCTAGTCCTCAGCGCACTTCGCCCTCAGCCTTTCAACATTCCTTCTCACGGGCGCCACGGGCGCGCATGTCGCGCGCGCGCTGGGGCCCCAGGGGGGCAACGCCCAAGCCATGGCAAGCCGCAGCACGGCGTCCCGACCTGACGTCGTGGATGCCCTCCAGGCGCTCCTGAATGAGCTCCTGGAGGCCTCCCGAATGGGGCTGGAGCAGATAGGGTCGGAGGATCGCGCCGCATCGCGGACACATTGGCGATGGCGGAGAAGAACGGGCTCCAGATCGCGCCGTATCGCCGACGCATCGGCGACGCGGCGCGGTTCCCCGACCCCACGCACTAGAAGTTGCACGGAAGTCTGAGGTGCATCGTGTACTCCGGTGGCCTTGCCTGCCTGCAGCGGCCGTAAGAGCGTGAGTATGCGACGGCAACGGCATGTACTGGCATATGCGCTCATCATCCTGGCCGAGGCGTTACGCACAACTTGGGCTCGTATCACCCACCCTTCGTCGTTCGGAACGAAGCCATGTTCGCAATCTCGCTGACGGATGCGTGTCTTGCAGCGTGCGCCGGCGACGCGCTCGAGCGGCATAGAGGGGCATAGATGGATGAGCTGATTGACTGCTGTACCATCCCTGATGAGATGTGTTGCTCTGCCCTGTCAAATTTTGGCATGGCGCATACTGCCGTGGTTGAGCTGCTCGGAATTGGGGATGATATAGAATGTCGGTTCCGAAAGAAACTACCTCGCATGTGGGATCCGCAGCGACCGGGTTTCAGGAGGCCATGCCAATACTCGATCACGCATGCGTGGCGATGGTCCAGCCAATGATTCTTTGTGCCCCTGTCCCTGATCTTCGCGCTCGCGAGCATCATTGGACACGGTGGCGGTGGTTGGACGCGAGCAAGAAACGCGTTGGCCGACCTCGTCCTGCGTGACTACGCCTATCCGCAGCTGGGCGGCAAATCCCGACCGCACATGGTACAACGATGTGGCGTGCCGCTTTCACGCTCTGATTTGCACCCTCCGTGCAGCCACCCAGGGGATGGCTAGACGGCGCCGTGGAAGGGTAAGGCCCCCTGGACTGGGCTGCTGGCGGCCCCCAGAGCTCGGGATCACCAGCTGCTCGCGCCGGGAAAACGACCCCTCTGAGCGCCGCGTTCGCCCACTGCGCCAGCTCTCGGGAGACCTTCCCTGAGCAGGACATCCCACTGCCACGCCACGGGTGTCGTGACGCGACCAGGGGCTGGCCACAAGTACAAAAGGCCAACCCTGCTTCTGCTTCTTCTCGTGCCCTGCTTCTCGCCCCCCGCTTCCTCCTGTTGCTGCCGCTGCCGCTGCCGCTGCCGCTGCTGCCACTGCTCCTCCTCCTCCTCCTCCTCCTCCTCCTCCTCCTCCCCTCGGACCTCTCTCTTACTGCTGCTACTTCTGCCCCCGCTGCTTACGGGAACTGCACGCAGACGCATCGAAACCCCAGACGCGGGCGGATGGAGAAGCCGCCCGCGGACGCCTGGAATTCCTATGCTCGAAGGCTTTTCTCGCCTCCGAGCTCCCCTGGGATCCGACGCCACAACAAAAGCTGCAACATGGTGCATCAAAAACTCGACCAAAGCCTTGGACCCGATCCTTCCGCGGTGTTCTTCGAGCCAGATCGGTCCGCGAAAGTCCCAGGGCCCGAAGCGAGGCACGATCGCCCGGTGGTAACAAAAACGCTACGCCAAGGTCTCAGGGTCTGCCTGCCCTCCTCCTCCTCCTCCTCCTCCTCCTCCTCCTCCTCTCCTCCTCCTCCTCCTCCTCCTCCTCCTCCTCCTCCTCCTCCTCCTCCTCCTCCTCCTCCTCCTCCTCCTCCTCCCTCCTCCTCCTCCCCCTCTCCCCTCCTCCTCCCTCCTCCTCCTCCTCCTCCTCCTCCTCCTCCTCCTCCTCCTCCTCCTCCGCCTCCTCCTCCCCCTCCTGCTCCTGCTCCTGCTCCGCCTCCTCCGCCTCCTCCCCGCCTCCTCCGCCTCCTCCGCCTCATCCGCCTCCTCCTCCTCCCCTCCTCCTCCTCCTCCTCCTGCAGCCCCTGCCTGCCCCTGGCTGGGGCAGATGTCTGCCTCCCCTGGGGGGGGGGGGCCTACGGCCTGGACCAGACTGGGCACGGGCCCTCCGTCGGCACGCCGTACGGGATCGGGGGCTGCTCCTGGGCCCCCTCCGCCTCCTGCTTCTCCTCGCCTCCTCCAATTGCTCCGGGTGCTCCTCCTCCTGCTCCTCCTCCTGCTCCTCCTGCTCCTCCTCCTGCTCCTCCTGCTCCTCCTGCTCCTCCTCCTCCTCCTCTGCTGCTCCTCCTCCCTCCTCCTCCTCCTCCTGCCCTCCTCCTCCTCCTCCTCCTCCTCCTCCTCTTCCTCCACCCTCCTCCTCCTCCTCCTCCTCCTCCTCCTCCTCCTCCTCTCCTCCTCCTCCTCCTCCTCCTCCAGCCACTTCCCCTCAGGCCCCGGCGCGCGCGGGGGTGAGAATCGGAGCGCCCAGCTTGGAGGTGGCAGTGGCTCCCGGAGACTTGGCACGGCCGGTGTGGCTCACTCCAGCGGAGGAGGTGGGTGCGCGTGGTTGGGGCACAGGTGCCCCACGCCACCGCATGCCGAGCACGCCGACGCGGCGTGGGGGGGACCTCCAGGTCGCGCCTCCCCGCCGCCGCGGTGCCGCCCTTCCCCGCCAGCTTGGGCCGCGAGAGAACGGACGGGGCTCCGCACGCAGCTCGGCCTGCAGCGCTGGCAGCCTGCCGTGGCGCGGCGGACAAGGGCACCAACCGCCAAGAGAGCTGCGCTGGCGAGGGCGACAAAGAAATACGCCACGCACCACGCCGGCTGGAAGTACGAGCAGTGGGTGCACGCCGGTACCACCAGGAAGGCAGGGTCTATCAGGAGGGCCTCCGATAGTGCCGAGCGCAGGCGAAACGACCCTTGGGAGGAAGGCTTTTCTGACGCGCAGTGGAGGAAGGACCGCAAGCTGCTTCAAGTTGGCCGACGGCCTGTCCGACGCGCCGTGGAGGAAGGCTCAGGAGGCCATCCCAAAAGGTAAGTCCTCGGGCACCCGAGCTGCCCCCCTGAGCAGGGAGCTCGGCGGCGGGTATCAGAACACGCCGCCCACAACCAGAGGACCCACCCGGTGCCCCCCCCCCGGACAGGGAATCTGGCGGCGAGAAATTCGACGCGCAGCCCCGGCAAGGAGGTGAACCGCCCTGCTAAGGGCCCCCTCATGCACGACTTCACTTACCCGCCTCCTCCTCATCATTCTCCTCCTCCTCCTCCTCCGCCTCCTCCTCCTTCTCATGCACGACTTCGCTTACCCGCTGGAAGCGAAGCATAAGCCTGACGTCGAGGAAACGGTGATCCCAGCTGCCCCCCACAAGAAAGAGTCTGGCGGCGAGTCCCGTGAAGCGTTTCCCGCCTCGGAGGAAGAGGCCCCCTGCCTCGGGCCTCCTCCGTACGAGCGGAACGCCCGCGTCCCTGAGCTCCCATGCAGCCGTCGAGACCAAGCAGCAGGGCAAGCACCGGGACAAGGGCGACTGGACAAACACCAAGAGTGACTACGTCTCCCAGGGCTTCAGGAGCGTGGGCCACCTCATACAGAGCATTGGGGCGCTCGTGACGCTCAAGGAACATTTCAAGAAACACCAAGAGCGGGTCGCCAAGAAGGAAAGCTGGTCTTCCACTACATCTTCGAGCTCCAGCGGCTCGACGGCGGCAGAGTCGAGTTCGGCGGAATCCTAGGGCACAGTCGCAGGCACCACGTGCGCTAGTATGCATATTTTCGAGCGCGCCCGCGCTCCAAATTCACAATGCCAGGATTCTGTATGTGTGCCTTGGACGTTTAACTATCCAACGGAGCCTCGGGGGTTGCAGCACCCGTGGCTAGGGCAGGGAAGTGGGCCAGAGTGCCGCTTCCGCGGGTAGAGCGGCGGTGGCAGTCTGTGCGGCGCCATCGCGAGTGTGTTTCCCTGGGGGGGGGGCCAGGCGAATCTCGGCAGCCCGTCCAGGCGAACGAGACAAGGACACCGCCGTGCCATGCAACGCACCAGCGTGCAGGTGCATAGCGACGCCCGAACAATGATCGGCCCTATCTGCTCTAGCTTGCGATAGTGCTGTTTAGCCACAGGGGTCCCGAAAGAGTCCTCTTCATCCTCCTCCTCTTCGCCTTCTGCTCCTCCTCCTCCTCCTCCTCCTCCTCCTCCTCTTCCTCCCCCTACGCATTCCTCCCTCTCTTACCCCTCGCCCCTGCCCCTCCTGCGTCCCCCCTGTCACCTTCTTTCTCCCGATTTTCATGGCCGCGCCGACCTATATTTGGCCAGCTCTGGATCCCCTGGGCGATCTGCCGTTGACATCTCTCGGGGATCAACCTTTATGTTCGACAGCTTCTGCCAAGCATCCGCTGGTGAAGCAAATATCGTTTTACTTCCGCGGGTTTCGGCGCACCTTCCAGCGGCCTCCGCTGGGGCACGAGATGTCAACCATTGATTCCTCGAAAACGAAGCCGTTTCCTGAGCTGGCTGCATGTTTTGTTCGGTTCCTCCCTTGTTCAACTGAAGGGGATGGGGACGGCATGAAGAGGAGGAACTTACTGAGTCCGAAGCATAGGAGTACGAGGTGGAGGCGGCGGAGGAGGAGGGGGAGAAGGAGGCGGAGACGGAGGCGGCGGAAGAGGATTAGGAGAAGGAGCATGAAGAGAAGGGTGAGGACAAGGAGACGCCAGAGGAGGGGGAGGAGGAAGAGGAGAGGAGAAGACATTTACGGACGAGGGAAAGCGGGTTGCGCACGTCTGTGGGCAAGCTTGAGTCCCTTGGGCTCCTGGGGTCGAATGCTGAATGCCATGACCTGCCCGGTGGGGATCCGCTGACCCACGTTGCGGGATCTGGGGAGCAGCTGATCCATGCATCCATCATGCCTCCTCCTTCTTCCTTCTCTCCTCGCTCTTCCATCCTCGCTACTCCCTCTTCCCCAGAGCGAGCGCCGCGCCCGACGCACGCCGTGCGCGAGCGACCCTTGGTCAGAGCCTTTCAGCGGAGCGCCAAACGAACGACGGCGCGGGCGAGGTTAAGCTCGTCCGCCTCCAAGCGACGCAAGGAGGTGAGCTACGCCCTCTCCATAGCACAGATTCGGCGCATTCCAGTGCAGCCTTCGGAACGGTCCTGAGATCGGGGACGCGCAAACATGGATTAGCGATCCATGGGTTTGGCGCGCGGTCGCCAAATCCATGGATCGGGGGAGGTGCCCTCCCCAAAGTGCGGCTGGTGCCGCCTCGCTCGGCGGCGGAACTCCGCGATTTCCCATGGAAACGGGACCCGTCGCTAGCCGCTAATCCACGCCCCCTTGATCCATGTTTGCGATCGCCTGGTGAGAGGCGCATGAGCGAGGCTTCAAGCCGAAGGACCAGACAGACGGCCCCGGCGCTTCTCCGGCGAAGCTGGCTGGCAGCCCCCCCGCTGCCTGGCGGGCAGGGCCCCCACTTGGGATTCCCGCTTCTGCGGCTTCTTCAAGTCCTGAGAAATCCTGGCCATTTCAGAACGATTGCCTCATCAACTCGAAGGCTTCGTGCCGATTTCCTTGACAATCCTGAGGGTTCCCTGGCAATCGCAAATTCCGTGGGGATCATTCGGATGTCCCAACTATGTCCTCAAGAACCCTGAGGACTCCCGCACCAATCGAAAAGATTTCCTAACTACACTACCCACGCAGATTGCATCCGGAATAGCTTTCCTCTGGAATTTCAAAATCCCCCAACAGGGCTTCCTCAATGTTCCGACGGATTTCCACAAGTAATCCTGAGGATTTCCTTGGGAGCCTTCCCAATTTCCAAAGGAATCCGGAGAAAGTCCCTACTCCAGACTCAGAAGGACTTCCCCAGGAGCCCTGATGACTCCCTGCAGAATCCTGATCATGTCCTGTGGGATCCCGAGGATATCATGGTACCCCCCGAGCCTAGGTTTAGGTCGGGCATGTCCCCCTACAGGCGGATTTTAGACGAAAAACGAAAGATACCCCCACAGTATTCAAAACAAGTTCACAAATTCCCCTGCCGATGTGAGGCAGCCGTGCCACCACCGCGCGAGGCCCCCACCCGCGCGCGCAGTCCCCAGTCTCGCAGCAGGGCGCCGCCACGGCCGTGGGGTGAGACCCCCGCCAGCCAGTCGCCGAGCGATGCCCTCGAGGATGCCGACGCATGACGCCTCTCCCTTTGGAAGGGGCGCGCGTGGAGGCAGAGGCGAAGAGTCGACTAGGAGATTGACTGCAGAATCCACTCTGTCACCCACACCCTACTCGACGGGACCCCCCCCCCTCCAGCGCAGACGAGGTACAGTCGGGGCGTTGACCTAAGGAACCCTAAATAATGAACGAGGCCCTTTTTTTCATTGGTTAAACTTCGATTTCCCGTCGAAAACATAAGGAAAACCTGAGGCAAGCTGTGAAACACTTAAGGAACACGGAGGCCCTCCCCAACGAAAAGGGTTCCTTCTTCAGCGACCCGACTGTAATTGCTGGGGGGGGGGGGGCTGGGATCCGGTCAGCGCGTGCGCGCGCACGGTGAGCATGCCATTTCCCATAATCCTCATGGCGGGTGTGGGGTGCGTCTTCGCGTTCTCTCGTGGTTCCCCCTCCCGTTGCTGCTGCTCCACCTCCTCCTCCTCCTCCTCCTGCTCCTCCTCCTCCTCCTCCTCCTCTTCCTCCTCCTCCTCCTCCTCCTCCTCCTCCTCCTCCTCCTCCTCCTCCTCCTCCCCCTGTCTTCCTTCTCCTCTTCCTCCTTCTTCTCCTCTTTCCTCCTCCTCCTTCTCCCGCTCGTCCTCCTGGATCTCCTCCTCCTCCTGCTCCTTCTCCTCCTCCTCTTAATTCTCGTCCTGATCCCAGTCCTCGTTGTAAGCCTTCTGAGCCCCAGTGGACGGGGAGGGCGTTGCCCAACCCTGCGCAGCAAACAGCACAAAGTACTACTCTGGGTGCGTCGACTCACTCAGCCCCCCTATCCTCCAAGGCAACCTGGAGGGACATCTTCACGACTTTACAAGTAACAATGGCTCCGCATACCGTGCAAACCACTACTGGAGTGCCAGTGGCATCACCCACGCGCTGTGGTTAAGCTCTGGGGCCATGGCATTCCAGAGAATACCTTGCAAAGACGGGGGTAGGGTGAAACACTTGGTGCTGGCTAAACTTGGTTCTCCGTTTTGTGGCAAGAGTGACATCTATGCCGACTACGATCCCAACCCCTATCTTGCTGCCGCCGTTCATTGGTAGCGCGGGTGGTCTTGGAATCTGGCTGAGACCCCAAATCGATCACGGGTACTCCAGAATGATGATCGTTGCAACGGCTGCACTTGTAAAAATTTTCAACCTTCTTGAAACGGGGAAATCGAAGGGCGACATACAATTCTTCGTGGCCGCCAGCTCGGCCAACTGATCGCTCACCTGCTTGGCCAACCGATCCGCTTTACATGCCGTCTCTTCAGAGGCGCTGTGGCATTACTCAGGTATTGGTGGGCCTTGACTTGATTGAACAAGTCCGAACTTAGAATCGAGATCGCGGGGAATTCGCCCAAGCCCGCCTGCGGTGCGTCTGGACCACTCGCTCGCACAGGATTGTGCGCCCCCTGAATGGCCACACAGTCAACATGTAGAGGCGTGGCGTGCCGCACATCAACTCCTCTTTGCCTCTCCACCCCCACGAACGCCCAGTGTCCAGCAACCGTTACCGACTGCAATCTACTGTCCGGCACGGGTCCCGGAATCGCTTTGATCAGCGCTCAGTCGTCGCTCACCTGGACGACGGCCCATCCAGCGCGAGAGGCTCCATGGCACTCAGAATGATAGTATAAACCGTCGCTGTACAGCCATCCCTCGGCCGAGAAAGCGAAAGGATCCACATCACCTCCAAGTCGCTCGTGCTCGTGCACCGCAATACCATCATGCAAAGGCTGCTCAATGAACTCTAGGGGGGGGGGGGCATCCGCAGCCTGGTGAACAAAGGGTCACTGGGGCCGTGGTGAAGGGCATGGCCAGGATTTCAAGGTTTATCCCTTCCCAACCGGTCTCACTCGTGGGCAACATCACGGCCTATGGTACACCGAATCGGGTTGCCCACAGCATGGGCAAAGGCCGTCGCACGCATAGCCCCCCCAAGACTGCAAACATGATCAAGGAAGGATGACCCCTCCCAGTCCTCGTGCTTCTCATCTTCCCCTCTTCCTCCAGACGGAGGAAGAGGGGGCGCTTCGCCTTGGGCGTGGTGCCGTTGCCCGTCGGGTCTGCGCCCAAGCCCTCCTCTTCCTCTTCCTCTTTCTACTATTTGTCTTCTTCTTCTTCTTCCTCCTCCTTGCTCATTCTCGTCGTCCTCTTCATTTCCGTTGGAATGCCCAGACCTCCGATTCAACATTGGCTTTCACGACGTGGGCCTCCAGACCTCTCTCGACCAAATTTCCGGGGCTGGAATTTGATCATCATTCTCGGTCGTTGCTTGATGGCTCTGGGGCCTACGCTTAGTTTCTAAAGGCCCATGCTGAGGAACAAATTGCCACCTAGACATTCACCACGCCAGAGGTCGTGGCGGCGAGGACGAGTAGAACCTTCAGCGAAATTTCTCGTGGCATTGATTGTAGTGACCGCGTCGCCAATAGCGCTCCAATGCGTACGTGCAGTCGGCTGTGAGCGACTCGTGGCCTACGAGTCGCTCACAGCCGACTGCACGTACGCATTGGAGGTTGAACAACAGAAAGTCCCAGCGGCGACCTGGTCGCCACTCGGACTTTCCTGCTGCTGCTCCTCCTCTTCCTCCTCACCCCATCCTCCGCCCTCCTCCTCTTCCTTCTCCTTCTCCTCCTCCTTCTCCTTCTCCTCCTCCTCCTCCTTTCTTCTGTTACTCATCCTTCCTCCTCCCCCTCTTCCTCTCCCCCTGCTCCTTGCTCCCTTCTCTCCTCACCCCTCCTCCTATCCCTCGCCCTCATCGTCGTCGTCGTTGTCCTCCTCCTTCTCCTCCGCCCCCCTTGTCGATGTGCCCTTTATACATGGCCCGGGAGCGGCACTAGCCATGTGCATGTGCTGCTCCATGTGGCAGTGGAAAAGCCACACACCGGGGTTGTCCGCCTTCAAGGAGGAGGAGGAGGAGGAGGAGGAGGAGGAGGAGGAGGAGGAGGAGGAGGAGGAGGAGGAGGAGGAGGAGGAGGAGGAGGGAGAAGAGGAGGAGAGCTCAAGCTCATGCGTTCAGCGAGCATCTCCCCACCTGTCCGCTTTTCCCTCACCCATCGCCTTCCTCCCCCAACTCCCGTACCCTGGAGGTCGACGTGGATCTCGGCGCTGCGGCTGGCTGCGGCGGCGCTGGGCGCTGCCCCATGGAGGGACGAGGACGCCGACGGGGACGAGACCATGCCGGCGCAGGACGCTTCTGGAAGTGGCGACCTGGCGGCCCAGCATTGCGCCGCGCGAGCAAGGGAGGATGGCGACCCGGCAGTGAGGCAGAGCAGGCGACGTAGAGCACAGCAGTGGGCGATCGACATCCAGAAGGCCACACCGCGTCCAGCGTCTTGTGTGGGATGTGGTATCCCTTTCGAAACCCGTAATATCAAACTCGCGACGTGGGGAAGCAGGGAGCGTGGACGTTGGCGCTGCGTCACCTGTTCTGCCCCCCCCCCCCCCCCCATGCCTTGCCAGGGGATGCTTTGGCTCGGAGGCCGCCTGGAGCAGCCGACGAAGAACACGCTCAAGCTGTACGGGCCGCTTTCGCCCGCGGGGCGGCAGCAAAAGACAACCGCCACCCGCAGCCGACAAGGTGCGCCGACCTCCCATCCACCACTGCGCCCTTGGGTGGGGCAGCCGGAACACTCCTCCGAACCGCACGTGGTGGGAAAACCTGCCTCGGGCGGCGGCCGTCTGCGTGGGCGCGCCGCCCTTCGTCCAGGTCCACGACCGCTCCTGCGGGGCCTTCGCCATGGCCCGCCCCGCCGGCCTGGGAGCCTTGGCGGCGGCAAAGGCGCGAGGCGACGCAGAGCAGGAGCGGAAGTCCTCGCTCCTCTGTGAGGGCCTGCTGCTGGCGCGCCTTGGGGGGGGAGGAGCGGCGACGTGTGCAGAAACCTTGGCGGAGCGTCCCGCGTGGCTTTTGGGGTGGGCGGTGGGCCGCCCCAGGGGGGAGGGCAGCGGGCCGCTCGACTCAGCCGCTGCGGGCGGTTGGCCACGACCCCGACGACCGCCGGGCGTTCAAGGTCAGCACCTCGCGGCCGCGGGTGAGGAAGGCCGGGCGCTGGGCGCGGTGCGCGGCGTACCGCTGGCCCCACGTGCGGCGGACACCCTGGCCGTGCTGCGAGCTGTCGCCTCGAGCGGCGCCCTGCGCGCGGCGGCTGCACAGGACAGGCCCTGGGCTGGGACTGCCCCAGACGGAGACCCGTCCTGCCAGGCTTGCGATGGCATCGCCAAGGTGCTGCGGCGACCCCCCGGGCTGGACGGCCCGGGGCCTCCTCGGCACGCGCTCGGAGCACCTCGCCGCGCGCACAGACGAGCTGGCGGTCCTCGAGTCGATGGCGTGGGCTGTGGGGGGGCTGACCTTCGGTGACGTGCCAGAAGCGGTGCTGCAAGCCCTCCGGGCTGGCGAGCTCGCTGCCGTGGACGAGGGCGCCGGTGAGGTCCGGCCACTCCTGGTGGGCACCACCCTCCGACGGCCGGGGACGAGGGCCCTCGCAAGGGTGAAGAGGGCCAAGCTCCACGCGGCGGCTGGGCCCTTTTTTGTTGTTGTTTGTTTTTCTTTCCTCCCGGACATTAGAATTCCGCTGCCCCTCAAAAGGGCTTCCCGATCGCGCGATCAAGACTACGATGGGAGCAACGCAATGGCAATCTAAGCGGTCGCAGCTGACACCGTGCAGTGCGTCCCCCAAAAAGCCACCAGGACCTGAAGAAGAAAGACGAAGAGGAGGGGGAGGACAAGGAGAAAGAAGACGTAGGCGTTGCGCGTGCATCCCCACGGCCTGGCACGACGAATTTCAAAGAACAACAAGGCAGTGCATGACGACGAAGATCCCGTGCGAGGTACAAGTGATAGCAAAAACGCCTGGCAGTCTTTCACGCTGACGGTTTTTTTTGACCTCGACAGGCCTCGCCGCTTCAAGGACTTCTCGCGGCAACAGCGGGCACTGCAGCGAGAAAAATCGCAGCTGTAAAAAGAAACACTGAACAATTATCTTAAAACAGCTGCGAATGTGAGGTGGGTGTGCCTGGGCGCTCCACGAGGCCAGGCAGCAGAGACCCACCTCAGGGTGGCCCCTCACAGGCGCACAGGGACCAAGGGGGCCCTGCTACACCTGGACAAGGGCCGAGACTGAGGCACGGCAAGCGCAGAGCCCCCGCCCTCCACGCGACAAGAAAGGAGGCGGCCCTCTACACAGGAGGGCGACCAAAACAAAAGCCCACCAGAGTTAGGCGGGGGGCAAGGCCACCTGCAGAATCCTGCAAGTGGAAAAGCAGCACAGACCGACAGCCCTCGACTGGACAAGAGGACAGGCGGATTCAGCCAGAGCGCAGGGCTGCGAAGTGTTGGGGCTAGGAGCCTGAGCTCCAGTCCACAGCAACACCTCCAACTAGGTCATGGGGCGGATCGCCCTCGTACCCCCGAGACTAGGCACCTCCACGCGCAACGAACGCGAGCACACGCACACGAACGAGAGGAGGGCCAGGCGCTGGGGCCAGGGACATCTCACCTGGCCACTGCATGCGCCATTGGAGCGACAGTCGGGATAAACTTACCCCCGTGCTCCTCTGAAAGGGAACCTTCAGGATGTGCGCGCAACTTCCCCCAGAAGCGGGGTGCCTGACACGCGTGCGGACACGAAACGACGCGAGACGCACAGGATGGGCTAACACAAGGACGGCGAGGCCTGCCCCAGGTGCTGATGCGCCTGCACGAGAAAGCCTCGCCCCAGATGTAGAGCCAAAGCATCGAGAACGATAGCAAAAGGGCCGAGGCCAACAAACATAATATTCGACCACCCACGCAAGGACGACGAGGCCTCCAGCCCCTGGTGCAACGAGCGCCAGGACGACTGGAGGCCTCGCCCCAGATGTGGGGTAAAGCGCGGATGCCTGCCAAAAGGGCCAGACGCATCGGGCCGTGCAAAAAAAAAGAGAGAGAAGCCAAACAGCTCTTAGAACAGTTCGAGCACATCATCAATAGAAACTGTCACTGGCCGACGTTTTTCGTGGGGGTGCAAGCCGCGGCAGAGGTAATTCCAGCCAGTCCCTGCACGTCTGGAAGGTTTACCTTCGCGCCGCTCTCCAAGGCCTTTGATCCTGCTTCCAGTCGAGTGACATTGGCAACAGACACATATGAAGAGCACATCGCCATCTGAACAATGAAATGCTATGACTCCATGCCCTAAGCTTTGGAGAACATTATCATCTAACTTAGACCTATTGCTACACCTACCTGGATGGGGGCTCTTGCGGGGACCTTTTGCGGAGCAAGCACTGGGCGCGCCTCCAAATGCCAGACCACTTCTTCCAGGCGTGTGAGGTCTGAGAGTGGCTAGGTGCGGCAGGCACAGGCACATGGGGAACGTCTAGCGACAACTTAGGCCAGAGCGGCAGCATATTGGCAGCTAGAATGTAGTAGGCACGGGCAACAGTCACTAAAGCGTCTACTTCCAAATTTAATGCCGCATCAGAAGGGTGTAGCTGGATGCCATGCTTGGCACCAGCATCTGCATCTCAATTACCTAGGCGCAGAAATCTTCCACGCGGGGAGATGCCTTCTTCGTCCACGTCTCGGTGTGCCTTGACCTTGACGGTGGACTTAATTTTATCTCCTTCCTCATGATTCGCATTTAAAATCATGCCTGAATATGAACGCTTGCCCGAGTAGCGCTCAGGAATGGGCAGCAACAAGTGGCGCACAACGTTGGCACAGTCACAGTATAAGACCGAGGGAAAGCAAACAAACTGAGCAACAACACATCTGGCAGAGTACTCAGCGGCTTGTGGTGTTTGGGGGAAATGGGCCCAGACTGGGCCTCTGACCTCTCCAAGGCACTTCCCGTCGTCCGAATTCATGGAAATGCACCAAGCAGCGCGGGAAAGTTCACGAACAACGTGGCGCTGGCAGGACCCATCGAGGAACAGGTGACCCCACATCCTACCATTAGCGGGGGCCAGAGGACCATCGGGGCTTTCGAGCTCGTCCACGTTCCAAGCATAAAGCAGGGCATTGGTGCCTTCCAGGGCAAGGCGCGGCAAGACGTCGGCGGGGTGAGCGAAAGCTCCTCGAGTATACAACGCGGCCACGTGGCTGTCGGCCTCAGCAGCCCAGACACGAGCGGAATCAGCAACTACCGAGGCGGGGGCCAGCTGAGCACGCAGCTGCCCCACCGCGCCGAAAGAGCGCTGCCACAGCCTGTGGAAGATACTGTCGGGGGCCTGCCGACAGAGCGGACAAAGTTCGTCAACCTGATATCCACAAGACAGCGCTCTGTCAGCAATCCAGATGGCGTCACACGAACAGGCTCTGATCCACCCCCTCTGCGCGGGGGATAACTTCTTACTTTGAATGGCGGCTTTGGGCGCGTCGATGCGAACTCTGCAGTCCAAGTCCCATTTAGCTCCCAAGTCCCTTTCCAACCCTCGGTGAAAAAAAGCATCCTTACACAGGGTTTCCAAAAGGCTAGGAGGGGTGAGGCCCAGGCTAAACTTGTAACCTCTATCGTCCGTTATCGTGATGTCGTCGTCCATGGCCCATCCGAGGCGAACAGGCGTGAGCCTGAGCGCCGAAAGGGGGCCACGAACAGTAGGCCAGGTGAAGCGAGGAAGAGCAACAACTGACTGCCAGTTTCTCCGCAACTCAGGATGCTGGATGGAGAACGGATGAACACGAGTCTGGGCTAACCAAATCTCTTTGCTCCACCTCGGCAACGGGGCGCAGACAGCACGCCATCAAGGGTCGTCAGACAACGAACTGACGGCCGTGAGAGAACGCCCTTTAGAGAGGTCTGACCGTCGAGAAGGCTTGCCTTCGCATCGTCAGCAGGACCTGATCACTCACTCCAAGAATGTCCGCGCCGTACGTCCCTCCAGGGAGAGGACCGCACGCGTGCACTCTCAGAGCTCTGCGA